TGGTCGGTGATATGTGGGTGTATAAACATATATACATATATGTATATAGGTATATATATATATATACATATATACATATATATATATATATATGCATATATATATACACATATGTATATACACATGTATATATACATATATATATATGTGTATACATATATATGTATATGTATATGTATATTTGTACCTTTATATATTTATGTATCTCTGCATCTTTTATTGAGTTCGTGATTGTTTGTTTATCCAGGATTCCAAGTCGTATGCAAGCAAGGAAAGCCACTCCGTCCTTCTAGACCCGAAATCATGCCTTTCCCGCGTCCAGTTTCCCAACGCGGGGAGTTTCCACAGTCGGAGGCGAGCTCATGTGGCTCGTGCTGCATGCTCCTATGTACAGTATCTGCCATACCAGTGGACTGCTGCAATAGGGGGCCTGGAGTCTATTCTTACGAATCCCCTGGAGTTATGTTATACATATATATATATATATATGTATTTTAAGAAAGAGCATAATCCTACGAGCAGTAAAGGTCAAGGCTCGGCTCAGTCCGGCGGCACTTTGACCTCAAAGCACGCGGTTGGGGCTCTCTTTCGTCCAGCTTGAGATTGCCACGCAAGGCTTGATCGAGTCCAAAGTTTGTAGGCTATGCCCTCAACACTTAACCCTAAACCCTACAGTATGTAAATGCGTCGGTGTCGTCGTGCTTCGGGTTGCGGTTGTTGGGCTCTGGGATTTGAAGCTTCTTCTGTTTCGAGCTTGCGCTTCGGTTCCGGTCCGGGATTCAGCTTGAACTGGCCTGAGGCCTGAACGTTCCAAACCTGAAATCGCCAAATCCTCCTGAATTCTGATAACACCCTGAAAAATCCCAACATCCAAAACCCCAAATCTTAAGCCCAAACCTCAAACCCTAGCATCCCACAGCCCGAAAACCCCGAAGATGCCAGAATGAAAGCTGAGACTCTTCCGGAAAAGTGAACCTCGGCGAATGCTCCACAGGAATGCGAAATTCACGGTATGCCATCACCTGCGCTCGGGTTCCGGAGTACCCACGGTTAGGGCTGCGGGATTTTAGGCTTCTTGTCCTTGTGCTTACGGTTTCGGAGGTTATCGTAAGTATGGGGTGTCCAGACTAAGATCGCTAATCTCACGGCCGACACGGCCGATAACACGTAAACATCATGCTACGAGTGTAATGCCCTGTGCTCTTCCGCAGGCCCGGGGGCAAAAGGGAGAGATGAGCACTGTTCTGTGGATGGTGATGGAAGCGGCCACGGTCGGGCTTGGACTGAAAGGCAAGGGAGAAGAACACCTGAAGCCCCAAACAGTATATAAACCCTGCACCCTAGACTTTGAGAGTTTCGGGCCAATGGCTCGTGGCGAAGGTCCGGAGTTCCTTTGAATACTTCGCTTCGATGATTGAGAGGCTTCAACGCGGATCCGGCCTCACCGCGCGGCCGGTTTAGCAAGTATACAGCATATGCATGCTTGAGGACCATACAACAAGTTACAACAAGGTACAGCACCGGCCAAGCTGCAAACTAGCCTGCAACCGAGTGCAAACTTACAACCCACGCGTATTTGTCGTCTCCGTCCCGCTCGCCCTCGCTCGATCTCTCTCGATCTCTTTCCATCTCTCTCTCTCTCTCTCTCTCTCTCTTCCTACCTAGCTACCTAGCTATCTATCTGTCTATCTGTTTACCTACATACATACATACGTACATACATACATACATACATACGTGCATAAATTTGTACCTACATGCATGCATACATACATACGGACATGTATGTGTACATATACAGGTCCGTATAAGTATGTCTAAAGGTTTACTTTTCGTAACATCCGGACTCGAGCGTGTGTGTGTGTGTTTTTTTTTTTTGTGTGTGTGTGTGTGTTTTTTTGTGTGTGTGTGCGGGTGTGTGTGTGTGGTGTTGTTGTTGTTAGCTTGTCTGCATGCATGCATGCATGCGTATGTATATATATATATTGCACGGGGGCATGTCCATATTCAAGCCGGCATGCATCAGCTCAGGTATAGATGCTGGATAAAGAATTAAAAGCTGGTACCTTCCTCACTTTAGGCTCCAGTTGCTTCGATGCTGCTCATATTGCCACCTGCTGACAATGTAGTTGAAGCAATCACCCCCCAACCCCCCACAAGTTCACCAGTCCCAAAAAGAAAGTCCTTCATCAATGGCCGAAGACAAACCCGACATGCGAAGCCCCAAGGAAGATTCCTTAATACTTAGAAAAGGGTTTGGGGGGCCCATTATACTGTAGTTATAATAAGAACCCCTGAGGAATAATATAGGTAATTGTTTTGGCTTCTATACTACCCATAGTGCACTGGTAGATCGGCAATGCCCTGGGCCTGAGGCCTAGGCTAGAGGCAGCCAGTTGGGGTTTAGGGTATAGTGCTTCGGGTTTAGGGTTCTAGAGGCAGCCAATGAAATGCCGACCGACTGAAGGAAAATTGAGGGACCATGGATCTTAAGCCCTCAACTTTAAACAGGACTCTAAAGCGAAACTACCGGCCCTCGCAATCCAAGTCACAGCATACACAACGTTGAAGAGAAGGCAAAGGCCACTAAACACGGCAGCCGCCTGAGATTAGGGGGGTTTGATCTCGGATAACACGAAACCCCAAACCCTAAACCTTTAAGAGTTTATGTGTTGCTTCAGCGGGTCAAAGGTGCCGTTGCACAAGGAGCGAATTGAATTGAACAGAGCTGTTTTAGCGAGACCTCTCAAAAACGTCACTGATCTGGGTTGACTGAATGTAGACTGAACGACAACTACACTGTCTGTCAGCTCCAACACCACCGTTCCAACAGTCTAGGCATAACTGCCAGCTGTTGCAGCGGGTACGGTAAGCCTGGCTTAGGCTTAGTCCCGAACAGTGACCCCTTTCCACACGTGGACTTCCGGCAGTCGAAGATATGCTCTGCCACGAAGAATCCCAAGTTTCGGGTCCGGTTCAGCAGTGATTTTCGGACTTGCAGGGCCCCAGGACAAGGCCTGCACGTGTATGCTGTTAGTATCTTGTAGGGTCGCATCGATTTAGGGATCCACTAGTGGATGCAGGGGCAGAAAGCACACCTCCAGTGAACGCTCGGCGAGCTGGAGTGTCGACTCGGGCACAGCCCATCTTCAACTAACCTAACCCCTTGAAGAGCCGCAAACGATAAGCGGGACAAAAACTTGTCAAGGGGCACGAAGCTGCTGCAGCATCTCCTTCTCAAGTATGAGGCTCACCAGGCTTGTCAGCAAAAGCAGCTGAAGAGTTACGACTTGGCTGCACTGGAGTTTGCAGGCCCGAGGTCACAATTTCTCATTAGAGCCCATAGCCAGGACATGCCATCCAGCCTCATTCTTGCTTCTTCGACACTTGCGTTCTTGACGGTTGGCAATAACCATGGAGCCAAAATCCTCGATGCTAGAAGTACAAGCCCTCTGCTGTCAACCTGATTCCTCAAGCTTCGCTGATTAAGTGACAAACAGGACCTAAACATATACTATACGCAGTAGTTAAGAATATACTGTAGTATACTACAGCCTATTGGACTGTGTCAGGGTTAAATGATGTACTTTAGTAGACTATAACATACGAGAGTATGTAACAACAGACTACTAAAAACCCCACCAAAACCCTAAAAAAAACCCTAAAAACACCAAAAACCCTAAAAGCCATAATGTACACCATAACCGTCTCCTCGGGCAGGAGAACGATCAACACAGCCGCAGCCGTGAGGAACAAGAAGCTGACCTCAACATCGAGAGGTGGCTCCTAGGATTCTCGGGCCTGGAGCATAGATAGATAAATAGACAAATAGATAGACAGATCGATAGATAGATAGTTAGATAACCAGATAGATAGATAGATGGATAGATAGATAGATGTTGATACATATCTACCGGCTTTAGGCTGCAAAACATGAGGTGTCCACCGGCTCTTTGAGGATTCAATCTTCCTTTTTATCTCGATGGCAGTCCGGAATGTGCTCAACAAGCGCTTCTGCCCATCGCTGCTGCTTCCAATTTCCCGACAGCCTATACCCTAATTGCCGAAGCATTCTTTATGCTTTCTCCTTTTAATTCCTACTCCCACGACCATTAAGCTGTAAGTTTTGGACTATGGTCCAAGGCTTCGGGTTACGACGAGGATGACTAACAAAAGGCGTGAAAAAAGAACCCATCTTTTCCGACTATGCCTGCTACTTCGAGCTATCAGCGCTGTTTGTTGAAATCAGCGGTTCAATTTAGAAGGTTGGGGCTTGCGAATTTCTTTGCACCAGGTCAAGACAGCAAACATACAGAACAACGGGATCACAAAGCCCTGGAACACAAGAGCCGGTTGTGGCAAAGGTGCAGCGATGTAGGTGTCAAGCATGGTGAGGTAGCCCAGCTTCGGCACACTCTCCTTAGATGCTGCGCCTACGCCCATGAACCCTTTTGCAGCTGGACTCTGAGTGTTAGAATCCCGAGACCCTAAATTAACCCTGAAACCCTAAACCACTTAAGCGCTAAAGCCTTTAAGCCCAAGACACTGTCGCCTGTCAGTGTGTGGTCATACAACTGGGGAGAATCTATCCTTATGCTCGCATATGGGGGCTTCGTAAGCATTAGAGATGCTTGCTGAAAAAGGGTTCGCAACGTCAGGATCCGACTGTTTAGGGTCGGCCCCGGAGTTTGGCGAAGCTCGCAATTCTCACATCATCCTTATATCCGGAAGTTCTGGTATTGTCTTGTGATACTACTCGGGAACATTGCAAGAGCACGTGTCTTCAACAGACTAGCAGTTGTTTCGGTGTTTGGGGGTCATTGTAAGCGTGGCTTCCGCATGCCATGACTACTATGGCGTCCGGAAGCCGGGTACGACGGAAAGCAGTGTCAGGTGTCAGTACACCCAAGAAACGAACTACCAACGCATCAGGATCCGAAGGATTCCACCTGGCCGCCTGCAAAGGGATGGAAGGTTGAAAAGAACATAAGCGATGGCTCAGTGTAGGAGAACTTCATAGCGACCATGGTCAGCATCAGTCCGGCGACGAGAGACAGTGGAGACTCACCTTCCACAAGGAGCGAGACAAACAAAAGCCCCCCCATTCTCTTGGGTTTTGCGTCAAGTCGATCCGATCCAAAAGCACACCTAGCTTGTCGTGTGTCGCTACAAACCAAATCTGTGTCAACAGCTGGGCTTTGATGTTTTGACACATGTACTGCACACTTACGGCTTCTCACAGGTATATGCGTGCCTGTACATCATGTACATATTTGCACATATATATATATATAGTATATAGTATATGAATATATTATAGCGTGTATGTATTTATGTACAGATTTAGAAACGAACAAATATGTTTTACATAGCCTGGCAAACCTGCCAAGTTGATCGAAACCTTTGTTGGCTATCTGTCAGAGACATAGCCCTAGGCCCTAAACATCCTTCGCCAATCAAGGACAACATCATGTTTAGGGTTTAGGGTTTAGGGTTTAGATACATTCTGTCAAAAACGGAACCAAGAGCTTCTGTGTGTAATAGGTACAAGGTTTGGTCGCGGACTTAACCCTTCAAGCTTAAGCCGTTATGCCCCTAAACCTAAACCTGCGGCGTCCCTGCGGTTCAAGTTCGGGATTCTCGCCCGCTTTCTGCCTGCAGTCTTAAGACGACTTGTGCTGCAAATCTGCAGAAACTTCTTTTCCGAGATTTTCTGAGCTTACACGTAGCTCCTTAACTCCAAACAAAACTTCGCATGGTGGGTCACGTTGCAAACGGCGAGCCTGCCTCCCAAGACGATGCCATTGGGTGCCTCGCCGGACGCGATGAGGATTGCACCTCGAACAAGTCTCACAGCTCGTTAGGATGTAGCAGGTAGCCACTTCGAGCGTGCACTGTTCCGGCTTGAGGGCTCCGGCTGTTCTGGGTAATTGGAACCCTCGGGCGTTGGGGTGCCACCTTGAAGTACACAGCTGTAGAAGCTGGTGTGGCAGGAAATGAGACCCGGACCCATGACCTGATCATTGATGTTGCCTCATAACTCCCACACCCATCGAGCTCAAAGTTCATGGGGTTAGGGTTTCGTCTCACACCCTAGGAGACCTAAGCTCAAAAAACATCCGAAATCGCAAGTCGAAAATCCCAGAACCCTCGTCAACTTGCCCGACACAAGCCCCTAACGGCTTGGACGCTTCGGGCCTGGGGGCTTTCAGACAGGAGCTTCTTTCCGTGCAAGCAGACAAGAGGGAAGGAACGGAAACGACCCCTTATAAACCCTAAACCCGCAGGCTGTTGCCTTATAAGTAATTGCCAGGAAGCGCGAACCAAATGTGGAGTGTACTCCAGGCTCGACGCTGGGCAAATTAAAAACTATAATCGTGCGAGTCCGTTGTTTCAGTTAAGTGCACGAATGTGCACGTGAATCTTGCAAGCAAAGCAGTAATGTACGACCCAACTGCCAGCAATAATCGGGAATAGGAGAAAGTCATAAGCGCACCGAGCTAAGCGAGCACACGAATTGGCGCTTTGGCTCTGTTTACTATTTTGGGCCTGCTCCGAAAAAGACATCTTGCACCTCGAAGTTGCAACCCACAATTTTTTTGTGGCGAGTTGAAATACAAGAAACACCGCTGAAAAAATCAACAACACCACACGAAAGCACGAAAGAGAAGTGGCTTACGCTTGTACTGCAACTCTTAGGGTGGATGAAAAGAGCTCACGCGATGCAGAGTTCTGTGAGCACATGTAACAATGGATTCCGGGCACCAGGAAACTAATCTTTGTAAAGGGCATGTGGCTGGCACCCATGAAGGTCACCACAGCAGTGGGGAACAGTAAGGCCACGATGAAGTAGAATGGCTTTCGGCGGACCTGATTCTGGGTCTAACATAAACGGTCTGTATTAACCCGAAAGTAATATCATTGACAACTATGTAGGCACGATAAGGGGCTCTGAGCACATTCTTGCCATTGTTCAGACCCCTATATGGTCACATATGGGACCCCGTAATCAGGTCCTTGGACAGTGAACGATTTATGCCAAAGCTTCCAGGGAAGCAAGAGTTCGGGTAAATGCCAGGTTTCAAACTAAACCCTGAACCAAAAGGATCCTTCAGCAGGTAAGACGACAGACGCTGTATGGAGGGGGGCGAAGATGTCGACCTTTGCCCGTGCGGTTTTGGCTGCGGCGTTGCGTAATTTCTTGAGCTTGAAACTGGGTTAAGGTCTTAGCCTTTGGGATGTATAGGGTTTAGGGTTTAGGGTTTTATGCCACCTGTTGATCTCATGGCTGTGGGTGGATAAGGCCTGCAGGATCTGCTGAGGCCAGGTGGAGTTTTGCCACTTATCACCGAAGTACACACTACTGTACCCTTAAGACCCTGAAGCCTAAACCTCACCACAACCTAGAACCCGCAATCCATACTCTAACCTAATAAGATGTCTATCCTTAAACCCTAAACCCTACTCTAAGCTACAGGATGCTAACCCTCAACCCTACTACTACAAGAAGCTGTAGTATGGTTTCCCTTTACCCTACACCCTACTATGATATCTATGAGCCACAAGATGCTGAGCTCAGCCCTCAACCCTACCATCAGCCATAAGGTGCTGTAAGTAAGACGTCGTGCCGGCGGGCCCAAAACCGGCCATAGAACATCAGCTCTCCCGTCCGAGCTCGGTTGGGGACGACGTTGCTTTCCTGGGAAGCTTCAAATTCGGGTTTGGGGTTTAAGGGGTTTAGGGGCTTTGGGTTTCGGGGCTCACACTCGGACAATCCAGGCGAGGCATATGGTTCGGCTTTGGGTTTAGGGGTTTAGGATATCGGTATGCTTCAGTGCTTCAGGTTCGGAGTTTCGTCGTGGGGCTTCGGGCTTAGGATTTGGGTTAGGGACTTTAAATTAAGATGCACCAGAGAAGTGCAAGCGGTGGCCTTGGACACACGGGTTCTTTGGGATGCCTTGTCTAGTTTGGGCTTTCAGGTTCGGGTAATGTTTGGGGCGGATGAGGATTTGAGGGAATGCCCACATTCGTCCAAAACCTTCGTAATCCCAATGCACACGCTGGTCTCGAGACCTAAATCCCCAACTCTAAATCCAAAACCCCGAAACCCTGCAACCCCTAAGCTGAACCCTGAACCCCTAAACCCCAAACCCTAAAACCCCTAACCCCTAAACCCTAAAACCCCTAAACCCTACATCGAATCCCAGGCTCGCAAATGTAGGGGTCCCATCCCGCACACGGGGTGGGATCGCCACGGAAGCCCAAGACATCAAATTCCTCCCAAGGTTCCAGCTTCAGGTCTAGGACATTTTCAGGTGGGTAGTTATCGTTCTGAGCCTTATAGAAGGTCTATATACCTTATAAGAGCCTTATAGAAGCCCTGCATACCCTGAACTCCCCACCTGTAGTTTCCTTTAAACAGGGTGTCTATTATGATTGGGCTTCGGTTGGTGGACCGGGAATACCCACTTTCCTATGCTCAGAAACAAGTTTGATGGAGAGCTAAAACTTCCTCGCAATAGAGCATGTGCGCCTAAAGACGAGACAAGGCAAACTCATCTAAGGAGCTTGCAAGTGATATGCAACACCGCCAGCCCTGCCTTCATACGCACAGGCTATACTGGCGCACTTTCTGCTACTGTTGCGACTGTGCCCGCAATTTCATTGAGCCATAGTCTAAGCCATAGTCCTGAAACGCAAATCGAAAAGCCCGGATTGAGCCACTCCGGTCCCAACCCTAACCTTGACCCTAGACCGTAAACCCTAAACCCTTTAAATCCAAAGTGCCGAAATCCGACACTGTTTTCGGGGTTTTTCGGGTTTAGGGTTAATTAAGGGCCAGATTACAGTGCTGTGGCTTTGATTTTAGCTTCGATGCTTTGAAAGGATTTCGGGTCTTTGGGGGTTCTAGGGCGGCGTTTCCGGTCTACGCCGAGAAAACAGATCCTGCACCCCAGGCCTGGGGGAAAAAATCCGATACATCCTATTACGGAATGTACCTTAAAACCATAGGGGCCTTAATATTATGATTTAAGGTATATTCCTTAACTAAGGGATATTGTGGCATCTGACCCAGCCATCTCCCTGTACTTGGAAAGCGGGTAGTTTTCTACATTAGGGTCCCCTCTTTGAATCCCCAATAGAGTACGGCACCCTTATAAAAAAAGACCCTAAAAGGGACCCTACTTTAGAGAACTACCCAAGTGTGTCCGACCACATCCCGCACCCCACAGCCTGCATCTGAGAATCAGACCCTCACACCTCAACCCCTAAACCCTAAAGCCTAAAACCCTAAACCCTAAACCCCTAAACCCCTAAACCCTAAACCCCTATAAACCCCTAAACTCTAAAACGCAAGTCGATAACTTATACGAACCGGAACCCCGGACTCTCCGACCCTACAGTTTAAATTTGGGGTTGATCTCTGATAGAATATAGTAGTCCTTAAAAAAGGTAGGCACAATCTAGTATAATCTAGTACAGTATAATATGACATTGTAATATAATCAACCAATGATACAGTGTATAGGTATTTGGGATCCAGGTGAGATATAAAATCTGCAGAGGCCTGGAAGCTGGTACCCAGCGCATAGGAACGCCCAAACTCCTCGATGCGGACATGTCGCCAGATCCTGCAGGCTAGGACAGGGGTCTTGGGGGCTTAGGGGGCATGGGGACTTTGGGGCTTCAATAACCTAAAACCTAAAAACCCTAAACCCTAAACCTTAATTAAACCCTAAACATTAAATCTTAAACCCAAAGCCCTATAAACCCTAAACCCTAAACCTTAAACCCAAAGACCCTAAACCCAAAGCCCTAAAACGCTTGTGGCTTCGGAGACTTTGGGGTCTGACGGGTTCTTGGAATGAGCCTTTTTTTGGGTTTCCGGATAAAGTGAGGTCGTTGGAGATTTGGGGGTAGGAGATTTAGGCAGACAGGGTAGGGGGCTTTCTAGTTCCCCACCATACAACTCAAAATCCACAAACATCCCTGAACCTACACCCGCAAACCGTAAACTCTAAGCCCCCCTACCGCAAATCCTGGACTGAGTCTGCCTCCTGTCGGCCCCAGGGATTTTAAGGCTTAGGGTTGCGGGCATACCAGAAGCCACCTCACCCACAGTAAACATGAGATGCGGGCTTACACGGCAAATAAGAAACTGTTTTGGGCGACTGCTTGCGTTGATACTCAAATATGTAAACGAGCATTTACTTAAATAACGTCTTCGGGATACACATATTGGAATAAAGCTTTCAACAGGAACATGGATCCTGAGGATAATGTCGAAGGACATACGGGATCAGAGCAGGGAGCATGGCCCTTTAGCTGCTGGCTGGCTTTTTCAGGGGGCCGTGAGGATGTCAGAAACAATCCTCAAGCGTCCCGATGTAACTAGATTGGAACCCAAAGTATGTGACTACAACTATATGGGAGCCTGGTAGGGGGATGTCCAGAGCTGACACCAAAGGAAAGCGTTCAGGCACGCTTTCTGGGGCTTCTGCTTGGGGTGGGGCTCTTCGTATGCCAGGCCCTGAAGGGGTTGGATGTAGCAGCCACGGCGTATAAGATAGTAATAACAACAAGATATCACATCACATAAATACAGATATAGCCATGAATACAACTACTAGATAGATAGCTCTCTCTATCTACATATATTTATATGTATGTTATGTTTCATATCATAAGAAACAAGGCCTGAGGCGGCCTCGGGTCGGATGTGCGAGAAAGGACCTGAGACCTAAAGCATACAAAGCTCTCAATCCGGTAAACCCGCTGTTGCATCAGGACTTGTGCAATCATCTGAAGGTCTGGGCATACGGAAGAAAACCAGAAACCCTAAAGGGGGATTCAGTCTATGCTTGTTCTGTAATTGCCGGTTGCCTTGACAGCTCAATTTAGCAAGTGAGACAAGCATCATAAAACCCTGGATGACTCATTTTTGTCCCATGGAAAAGGCACCTACATCCAGAACCTTGCAGAGCCTTGAAACCCGAAACCCCCAAACCCTGAACCCCCAAACAGAAACACAAATAAAACGCACCAGACACGCTGAGCCCTAACAACCAAAGGCGGTGCCTCGTCCAAAAGATTGCAGACATCTCATGCGAGTCAAAGGGAAAAGTGTGCCTCAGGAACACTGCTGTGGAGTTGAAGACAACGTTGGGAACAAGGACCCTGATATAATCGACGCTCGTGGGACATCCTTAACCCGAAACCTTTTCCGTCCCAAACGGTCTATCATCCTATCTCCATCGCACAGAAGGTGCCTTGTACATGCTGTATTACCGGCAACCGCACTCAGGAGGTGCTTGAACGTCTTGAAAGTGTTGGTTTCACGGCAGGCTGTGGATCTTGCTTTTTATTCCATCGCACAGCCCTTCTGTCTGTTGTATATGTCGCTTGGCACAGCTCAGATACCTGGAGGCCAGAGTGCAATCCGCTGTGCATGAAGGATGTGATGAGATGCTGGATTGGTCCTCGAAACTCGAAACCATCTGATAACGCCAACTGCCCCCGGCCAGGCTCAGGCGTCCGCTTCCTTCTTCTCACTCGTGGTGGACTCGAGCTCGTGGGTCACCTTGAAGACGCCGGCAGCAACTGCGGCACCCACGAGCTCGAAGCCTGAGTAGATCAGGGCCTTGAAGAAGAAGCCTCCATTCAGAATGTTGGCTGCTGCAATGCCGAAGGACACGGCGGGGTTGAGAGATCCACCAGAGATGCCACCGATGGCAAAGCCACCGACGGTGACGCAAGAGCCGATGGCGAGGCCGAAGAGGTGGGAGGCCTTAGTGCGCTCGGAGACGGCGACGCAAAGCACCACGAAGCAAAGCACAAAGGTGTAGACGATCTCCGCCACGGACACACCCGCCCAGGTGCTAGAGCCGACCGGTCCGAGACCAAAAGTGGCTCCCTTGTAGATGAAGGCATAGGTCATGGCTGCAGCGATGCCTCCTGCGATCTGCACGCCCGCATAGGTTCCGGCCTTGGCTGGCGTGAGCTCAGGGCAGCGGCCCGAGGCGAGAATGGCAACGGTGACGGCTGGGTTGAAGTGGGCACCGGAGACATCGCCCAAGGCGTAGATCATCGAGGTGAGGCCCGCAGCAATGGAGAAGGCAGCAGCCTTAGAGTTTCCAAGGACGTTGAGGCCGACCGTGAGGACCAACATGTAGGTTCCCAGGAACTCGCTCACCAGCTCGGTGGCCTGGCTCTTCTCTCCTCCAAAATCTTCAGGGCGAACCACCTTGAAGAGAGCGGCGGCCATGGCGGCACCAAGAAGCTCGAAGACGACGTAGGCAATGGACCAACCGAAGCCCCTGCCCGCGCTGGACACGTCGATGCCCAAAGCCACGGCCGGGTTGAAGCAGCCGCCGGAGACAGCACCAGCACCATAGGCACCTGCAACCACGGTGAAGGCGATGGCCATGCCGTAGTACTGGTTCTTCTCCGCGACATTCTTCTTGGCAGCAGCCACAGTCACATTCATGACAACGAAGGTCAGCATGAAGGTGTAGAGGAGTTCGCAGAGCCCCGCATGGTACCACGAGAAGCCTTTGGCAGGAGCCAGGTTGAAGCTTTGGCCGAAGAGCAAGGAATAGCAGATGGCGGCCGAAATGCCGGCAGCAGTTTGCACGCCGGCGTAGACGCCAACCGTCTTCCAATCCAGGCCTGGGCCTCCCATGGCACGGGAGATACCGAGCGTCACGGACACGGCCGGGTTGAAATTCCCCCCCGAAATGCCGCCCAGCGCATAGATGCAGACCATCAGGACAAAGGCGATGGACACACCGGCCCAGGTCGCCGATCCACCCAAGACGTTGCAGCCCACCGTGAAGATCAAGAGGAAGGTACCCACGAACTCTGCCGTGCACTTGGCAGCGATCGTGGGCTCGGTCGTCATGGCTGCAACGCAGGGAGCTTCAATGAAACTGAGAGTCTCAAGGGCTTGAGTTGGCTGCGGCAGCACACACACCTGGAGTGTCTGAAGAGCATCGGACTCCTGCAACAAGCAATCCAAGCAGCCAGTGCATCTCAGAGTAGTCCAGAAAGGAGTCGGAATCATTAGAATATAAGCGGGTTTCGAGGTATCATATAGTAACATAGCACGATTGGGACTTTAACGCGTCATCATTTCGAAGTGTTCGACCTTTATATATTCCTGCTCGCATGCTCGAGTATGGCTTATGCCCAAACTCATTGAGATCAACGTCGCTAAACCCTAAACTTTCCTAAGCCCTAACGTCAGCTTCCCGGACCCCAAGTCTTCAGCTGCCAGGCGGCAAAGAGGGTGTGTTGTACCAAAGAGATTCCACATCCCAACTGCACTGGATCATCTTCGTCGTCGGTTCGACACCTGTCTGGGTCTGTCAGCTTTGGGGTCCTGCAGGGGGATTTTCGGTTCCTAAACCTCGGGCTTCTAGATTCTAGAGTTAGTTGCTTTTAGTGCATGACAAGGCGCGAAGCCTGGCGTCGCCAGAGATCTTTGGATATGGCTCCTCCCAAGGTTGAAGCCAGCATCCGTTCTTTGTCGACATGTCCAGGGCAGAAGCTTCAACTTACAACATTCCTAGCAGCAGTCCATTTCTCCTACCTGAAGCTGCTGCGGAAGCACATCATGCTTAATTTCCACCTCTCCGGTCCCTTATTAGAGGCCTGATCGGTTCTACAGGCGGGACACCAGTAATTGCAAAGCACAGCACACCATCTGAAGGGATTGCCTCGCCAAGCTCTCTGTGCCAATTGACCACACCAATGCGCATGTAGCCTCAACTGACCAGGATTCCGGTTTCACCGGAGCCTTCACAATAATGGCAACTGCTCCGTTCTCCCCTGGCTCCCCATCAACCCCAAAAAGAGCCACCTGCCACGTAAAGCGCGCGCTACGGACTTAAGTCAGGCTGCCCCTTTGCCCGCAAAATCATCAACATCTCATCGGAAAGGTGCTTAATCATCTGAGCTCTTTGGCCCCGATTTGATGGTTGAAAACGATTCAGAATCCGACCGAGCTGCGCATAAGATTTTCCGCCTCCGTCTGCTCTTGCATGGGCCAAAACCTGTGTGTAGCAGTGTAGCTTCTCTGCGAATTTTGTAATATATTACAGGGCCTTCATAACCAGAATAAGTTTTGGGGTGTATATATATATATACATATATATATATATAATCAGCTAGGAACCTCAAAAACTATCTACTTTTCAGGCTACCATGTTGGTTAGTCAGTTTGACCTGGCACACCAGGTGACACGCGGTAATCTCATCATTCGCTTTGGACGTTCGGTTTCAACCCAAACCTCAGCCCTCAAACCGCTTGAACCCGCACACACCCAGATGTCTCAAAGCTCGGGCAGATCATTCTGGTTTTGGCTTCAGTTTTGGGGCTTTAGGCTTTTAGAGTCTAGGGTTTCGACTCTCACGAGGCATGCAAGACTTCACGGCGACTGGGCCACTAAACAAGGAATCTCAGCACGAAGGACCTCCCCCTGCATTAAATAAGATCGCCTCAGCCTATAAACCCTACTGAGCCCTACTGTGCACCCACCAAAAAAAGGCAACGACTGTAGAGGCCCCAGCACTGACAGGCTCACGTCAGTTGAAGTAAACCAGCGACAGCTGATTTCCATTCTTCCCAGCCAAACCGTAGCCTCCCACAAGAGCCCGGCCCAAACTCAGAGCTACAAATTACCACGACACGTCGGCAGATGCTACTTTAGTATCTACTAGACCTCCAAGTCGGATCGCCAGATCGCAACAACAAAATATTTTAACAGCCACACATCTACAAAACAAATTATGCGCGAAAATAAAACGCTTACGACGCCGAACTGATAATCGCACAGGGACGGCCTACCAATACCTTTCGTTAGCAGTCGGTGCACTACCTACTGAGCAGATTCGCTCAAGCTTACAGGTTCGCGGCTTCGCGGCTGGCAAGCTCTGCTCTAGCCTTTCTTGCTGCCTTTCTGCACTTGAGTTTATCTAGGATATATAGTGTTGACTAAACCTTTGGTTTAGGGTTTCCCGTGAAGCCGGAAACGAGAGCCCGCAGCTTTGGATTTTTGCGCTGTCAAGCCGGCTAAAGACCGACAATCCTTTCTGCGATCCAGCCATCCCCGCCATCCCTGCTCATCGGTTCAAGTCCCACAAATCATGATCTGGCAAGCGGCGCATCGTCGACTTTGCGCACATCGCCCTTGCACCATGCCTGCATGGACGCCAAGATCTCAAATTCCCCTCGCCTACGAATATTTCTTGACAAACGACGGATTAACGGTCCGTTGGGCACTGTACTCGTAGAGATGCAACCTTTTTCCACGGCATCGGAAGCGATTTGGAAGTTCTGTCGGGTTGTCGAAATCAATATGCCTAATCTCTGACACTCCGAAACAAACAACCTAGGATCTAAGCCCTAAGCTACTGCGAATGTAGCCGGAAGGGGGAACGACCCGGGAATAGTCACGGCTCCCATTCCAAGTAGTATGCTCATCCACTGTCACTCGCATTATAATTTGAGGCAGGTGGACATTGGGCTCCCCCCAAACCTCTGCAGCTTGGCTCATCCTGTACTGCTTCTGTGCACTGAGTCAGCGCTTCAGCTCAAGGGCGCCCGGTGAAGCAGACACTGTGCACAAGACTTACCCTGTCAAGGACAAATTATGTATGCAGGAGCTGTCTCTCTCTCTCTCTCTCTATATATATATACAAACACACGTGTGTATATATATATATACAAACAAAAGATACATGAATAAAGTATAATATAGTGGTATGGATAAACCTAGGTATGAATCGCTACAGGTAGGGCTTGGGGCTGGTGGCTTTCAAAGCTTTAGAGGGGTAGCAGGAGGGCGCCCAGTCGCGGAATCCCCGAGCTTATGCCATCAAACTCCTTGGCCAAAGCAACAACTTGAAGCCCTAAACCCGAAACTGCCTCAAACTCCTTGGCCAAAGCAGCTTCAAGTCTCGACTTCAACTCCCCCGACACGGCGGGGGCATCCTGAGTGGGCCAAAAACCCTCCCCATGGTTGAGATTTCCCCTTCAGCTTTTTTGGGTATTCGGTTTAGGATTTAGGGAACCCTAAACCGTACAGCCTTTCGGGTTCATAGGTGTTCCTCGTACATGGTTGTGTAGGAGCTAGAAGGGAATGGTAAGACTGATTTGCAGGCTTCGGTTTGATCAGGGTTTGGATTGGGGGGTGTAGGATTTAGACTTTCTGTGCGGCGCTGTTTACATCCGTTCACGGACCGGTGGACACCTCATGAACTGCCGCGAGGATGGCCGCCTTTTCAATCATTTCCGTGAGCCCTACAGCCCCCCAAACCCGAGCACCCTTCAGCCCACTAAACCTTCCTCCGAAACCGAGTCAGCCTGAACATCGGACACGCACAATAAGCAGAAGGTCGCCACTACCAGAAAGAAAACTGCGCCGAATGGTACTACGATGCTTATGCTCTCAAGGATGAACCTTTACGGTCTGCCATGCCTTCTGTCTCCGTTTCCTCACCTCCTTCCTCCCAGCGATGATATAATGACAAGAGGCCCTATGTAGCTTCCCTGCAACGATACCTCAGGCCGTGGACTCCGGCCGCCCCTTTTTGCTGCCAGCTTCAATTGCATCTTGCAGTGCCGTCTTCGTCGCCTCATCCAGCTGAGGACCTGGCATGTGCTACTGCTTTTTTTGTTGCTCACGGCTGTGTTCCAGGGGTTTGCGGGACCGTGCGCGTCGCATCGCTGGCGCTGTGGTTCCGTGCACATTTTTCTCGCCAATGAGCCTTTGCGGGGATCGTGGGAGGGAGGGAGGAAGGGATGGAGAGGGAGGGAGGGAGGGAGGGGAGGGAGGGAGGGAGAGCGAGGGAGGGAGAGGGAGAGCCGGACCACAAGGTGATATCTGAATCTATAGAGAAGCACATTACTTGTAGGGCGCGAGCGGACTGTTGTATACAGGCCCAAATATCATCAGTTTTTATCTACACCTACCTCATTCCTGGAAGGCTGAATCTTGAACCCTTGAACCAACAACTCGTGTAAACTCAACATTCCTAAACGGCCACAAAGGTCCTCCGTGCCTAATTAACCTCACTTGGTTTTCCTAGTTTAGAAACATCTAGAAACCCTACTTCCTACGTCCTACTATGTACTTAGGATCCCGATCCTAAACCCTAGACTCGAAATATTGGAGCCTACTGCTTTGCACTGTGTAAGCAGTAGTAAGATAGGAGCCTGAGTAATTGCGGGTCTTATGCTGCAGGGCTGCTCCGTATGCGCAGACTTGTGCAAACCCCAGAACCCTCTTCTACTTGTTCAAGCCCCGCATCGAAACCCTCATAGTAAACCTTACAGAACCCTTTAAAGGAACCTTTAAACGCACCGTATTCTAATTTTGTGATCCTTTAACCCTTTGGTCTGCATGGCCAGGTCACCGAAATCACGAAGGTACACTGCTGGAGACACCTGGCGCTTAATTCGGCCGTAGGATGTATGGGCCACAGGATTTGCGGGTTCATGGAACAGCTTTGGGACAGCAGGTGCTCGGGGTTGCGAGCTTGACAACTAGAGGTAGTGAGGCTAGGACCACAAACCACACTGAAAGGCACACAACTACCTCACTGTTCGACCGTGATTCGCTTTTTGCCCGGCCGGCACCGGGCTAGTTTTTGATAAGCCAAGGAACTGTCATTCTGAGTTTGATGGGGTGTAGCATGGGGTTGAATTCCTGCACGTGCAAAGCAGTCTGAAGCACTAAAAGGCTGTGTCTGGCTGGATCGTGACCCTGGCGAGGCATGAATTCCAGGGAGGTTGATGTATATTCGGCACCTTACATGTACCAGCATCCACGGACACGCCCCGCTTTCGCCCCCACACGTATTGTGTCTATACCAACAAATTCAAGGTGCGTAGGGTCGAGCTCTTCCATGCCAATGCCGATGAGGGGTTCGCTTTTGTCTGTATACTCAGTTGAAACCCCAATGAACTTCTCTTAAAAATCCCTTGAAAGCAATTGAGAACCGATGCCTTCACATCTCTAGGAGCCTGCTTCTCTTTGTAGCGATTTTTCTTCCAGGGTTCAAGAACAACCGACCACTTCATGACGGAAGTCAGAAAATACCCTCGACTCAAATCGTCATTAGAAGCCCACGAAGTGAATGCCTAAACCTGCGCCCAACCCAACGCCTTCATAGACACACTGACATGGCCACCCCAGTAGAAGTTCACCAGGTCTACTTTGGAGATTCCCTGGATACTGACCTCAGCTGCGACTCTGCCGGGGGGCTCTTCTTCAAGGCTAAGGGAGTGGGGTCTGTGGCCCGAAGGTGTTGGGGTTAGTGGTGTAGGTTAGGGTTTGTTTCGGCGCTCAAACTGGGACAATCCAGGCGAGGCCTATGGGGTGAGGGGTTCTCGCTTAGCAGGTTGTATCTCCGCACGGGTTCTGTGCACCACTTCCTGAAGTCAGGTTAGGGTTTGGTTAGGGTGGCAGAAATCAGGTCATGAGCACGCATGAGTCATGGGGTCTGTTTAGGCTTATAGTTTTATCTATGGGAGATTGAAACTCAATTCATCTAGAAACAGCGGAACCACAAATCTCCGCACCTCCGGCAGCCTGGAGCCTCGGATCCGAATTCCCATGCAAGCTTCACAGAAGCCCAAGAAGTGCCTTGATAGCAGACCCTTGTCTTTAGGGTTTAAGTTTAGGGCTTTATACACATCGAAACGACAAGTGACAAGAGCTCTAACTACAATGCCCAAATTCGAGTTCGCTCCAGCTCTTGAACGTCTTGCAGGATTTAAGCGGCAGTCTCCTTGCTCTTACAGCCCCAAACCTTACCTGCCCTCATAACCCAAGACCTAATCCCGATAAGCCCTTTCAATCCGTAAAACAAACTCCGAAGTTAGATGTCTCGTAGGAGTGCAACTTCGCGGCAGTTAACCCAACGCTGGCTTCAGGATCGAATCGCTGGTCCTTGAGGGCTCTGAAGTGACTTCCAGAACTGGACCAGTGTCCAGCGCTCGGGCCGGGCCGCAAGGGCTTGTAGGGTTTATTTATACGGCATGCAACTTAAAGGCTTGCGGTTCGGGTCCCTTAATGTTCATCTGTGTCAGGATTATGATTATGAGACCTGGTTGTGAACTCTGGAACTCTATTTGGAACAAGACCCCCCNNCCCCCCCCCCCCCCCCCCCCGTGTGTACGCAAAGACTGAAGGTTAGCATGAAACCCTCGATCCTCCTTCCGACATTGTAATTATAGCATCCACAGGACCAAGATTCACGGAGACCGTGACCAAAGGCTTGATGAAACAGACGCTTCTCTGTCTGAAGACCGGCAACATTTGTACCCAACCAGTTGAATTCAGCTAGCTTGGCTTTGCATTCCAAAGATTAACTACAAGGAAACTCGGAGAACCTTCTCCATCCTCGGTACCGTTTACGAAAGGCAACATCTCCTAGCCCATAACTTTACAATTTCAGACTGCGAATCAAGATGGGCCCGATACCAATAGTTCCCCGGAGAACCCTGCCGGAATCTGTGAATACCTTGCTTGCAGCTTCAAGCGTGCATCCTCTGTGAGCACGAGACTGGATGGAGGTACCCCAGCCTTGTCCAGCCATGTGCGCCTGCAGCTGCAAACTACCATGGCCCTAGCCCACGTTGCCCTAAGCCGGAACTTGTTGAGGGTTTTGGAGTCGATAAGCATACCTCTAAGTCTCGATAGCAAGTCTCCAAACAAACCTGAGTTATCACCTATGAGCCCTAAAAGCTGGCAAAATCCGCTCCCGTCAAGCCTTAAACACAAAGCCTCCCTGCACCTTGCGTGCCTTGGGCTTGGGCAAGAGTGCCGGAAGTTTCTTGCAAGGGCAGTACACATCCATGTTCAGTGAAGCTTAGCTCGGCCACTGTGCATGAAAGAGTTCTGGCTGGCTCGCAGGGCTTTGGCAGGAAACCCGTCCGAATGAATCCGCACGAGGTCTCATGGTCCTGAAACTGCCCGGCGCATATAACCTAAGAGGTAAGTAAAATGGGTGGGTTAGACTCTGACTCTAACGGTTGGACTAGTGACAGCGGAGACTGCAGCTTAAGCAAAGCTTGCTCACATTCTTCTCTGGCTTCCTGAAGCATTCTCATTATTGCTTGGCTACAGGACTCGCGTGTCTGGCATCGGAAAACATCCTTACATCCCACCCCCACAACTCCGCCTGACGAGGGGGACCTTGGGCAAAGGCTGGCAGATCTTCCAAAGAATCTGGCCTTGGAGATGGGCGGCTCAGGGTTTCAAGATTGAGGCCTGGGCCTTCGGTTTCGTAGCATCTGCAGCATCCAACCGGGATCCAACCAGGGATGAGTATAGTTTGGGGTTTCCCTCGCAAGCAACATCAACATCTTCGATGCATGACCACCATCGCCATCATCATCGTCAGCATCACTGTCACCATGATAGACGCAGCATGCCAAGGCGGCCAGGACCTGACCGCGAAGTGTGGGCCTAAGGTAGTGCTGCAATGATGTCTGCTGTCTCTATGCATACCTCTTTTATGGGGAAGTGGGGGGCGTAGGGGTTTGGCAGAGGCTCCAAACACCCGCGGCATGAAGAGTCGATGTCGCTTGGAACAATGCAGCCTTGCAGAAACCAGAAGACCGACCAGAAGCCCGGCTACCTGCGTAGTAGGTTCCTGTCCATGTACACCAGAATTCTGGTCATCATATGTGCATGGATGCAAGGGCGTACATGTGACTGAGCTTGCAGAAGAGGAGTCGATGAAACATCAACCAAACCCCGCCGAAGCGTTTGCCAACGAAGTCACAACCGAGGTCTCGGTGACTGCACACGCGATGAAGAAGTGAATCGGTAAGAGTCGGCTCATGCAAGTAGCCTCCTTGGCGGTGGCTTCCAGTTGTGGATTCAATATGTACGGTTCGTACCAGAAAGAACGGGCACCGTGCCGAGACTTTTAGTGAATTTTAGTGATAGTGCAAGCCCTTAGGTACAACCTCTCACAGCGAGCCAGTCCGTGACAGCTTCCGCGGAGACCTCCACTTGTTGAGGCTGCTCGAAGCAAGGGTTCCGGCTTACGATCAGCGGCCTCATCTCTGCTGAGACTTCGCTGGGAATGTGACCTTTGACCAAGCCTCCGTGTTCCAGCACCCCGGCCCTATGCCGCCTTTGGTCTCGCGTGGGGCCCTCAGAGCTGTCCAAGCCCAACCCAATCAACTCCATGCATTTCGCTGACCGAAGTACAAACGGGAGTGGCTCCACACCTCGGCTATCAATATTGTAAGCTTGCGCTCCCCGAAACGAAGCTTGTCTACAACAACAAAAAGAGTCCGAAGTCATCTTTTCTTTCGATGTGGGACGCCGAAGTCACCCCAGCCACCCAATCCGCCCCATTTTTTTCTGAGAAAGTCGAACACTGACTGTCTTAGCCACCTTTGTTTCGTTGTGGGAACCGGGGGCCAGCCAACCTCAACAGACGGAGCACATGGCACTGAGGTGTTAGGCCTTTCCAGCGCTGAAAGTCTCAAGAAAGACCTACTGGACCATCTTGAAGGCACATGGGCGTTTTTTCAAAGTCCGTGGGCATTGGGTCAATCAACTTTCTCAAGTAAGCCTCAAACGTAGTCAGGCATCCTGGCGCTTCCCGGTTTAGGGCTCGGGCTGACTTAGTTGGCGTTTGGGGTTTAGAGTTGGCCCAGGTTGAATCAAGCTCGACTCGAAGTCGGGCCTGGAGTCGGCTTGAGTTTCTCCTCGAAAGAGGTCGTCGATGCCTTAAACCTCCCCGAACGCTGCTTCGCAGCGCCTCGGGCTGCGCCTCACGGCAAGCAGCCTACAAGAAGCCAAGATGGCCCCACCGGAACCCTCAAAGAAAACGGAAGATTCTGTCCAAGGCTCCACGAACGGGCCCTTCTGCTTGCAGTGGCGTGGTTGCCATGGGCTTCCATTCGGGGTGGCACCGGATTGATCGATGTTGGGACTCAGAGTGAAGGGTCGAAATCCCTTCCAAGCTGCAATACGCTGCTTGTGTGGAGTGCTTGTCGAAGGGCTGTAGAAAGGCTAGTTTGTAGGCAACTTCGGGCCAAGTATGCAAGCTACATACCCGGGAGAGAGCTATCGCAGACCTCATGGTGCACGATGACCTTGACATTTGTCCATACCCGCTGGGAAAGTCCAGCTGCTACATTCTTTGCAAGCAACCCTGACAAATGCCAAATGTGTTTTGTGCAGGACGTAGCAGCACGTCCGATGTTATGTCCCGGCAACAGAGCTAGCCAAAAGGCTGTGTAAATGCAATGCTTACTTAGTCACGATGTAAGTGGTGTTCCGGACAACACGGCCGATCGATCCAAAAGCAATGGACACGGCATCGGGTTTGAGTCGAGGACCAAACTGCAAGACCAGCAAACAAAACGAAAGACCCATCCCCAGCTGCATGTAGCAAGCAGAGCAATCCTGAAACCGGTAAAACGAATTCACAATAAACCTTAAACTTTACGGTCTTGTGCACACTACAAAGCCACCAGGACAGTCACATAGAGCGCGGGGTTTAGGCTTGAATGCCCCGCACTCAGACGCCCGAAACCCAAAACGTCATCCTAAATCTAAAGCAGGCCCTGGACCTTAACTTCGACTGCTCGTACATATTCCTTGTAATGAGAAGCAACCTACAACGAGTGTGCAGTATGGCGAGCTATTCCGATCGCAGATTTAGCGGCCTTTACACCCTAAGCCCTGAAGCCCTGAAGCCATAATGTTGGGGCATAGTGGGGTTTAGGGGATTTTATGGGTCATGAAATTGTCACTGACAAGGAGCCATGGAGGGAATGCAGTTTGCTAAATGGCTGTCTAATAGCCCCGGACCTCCATCTAATTCAGCCCCCGAAGTTTTCTGCGAAGATGTGCCTTGTTGCAGGCCACATTTCCCAACAGTAACGATTGAGTTCACAAACCCGAGGCAATGTAAGAAGCGCATCTACGCCCGACGCCACGCCCCTTCACGATAACTCCCACACCCTACGACAACTCATCCCCAGTCTTATCCCAAGCGGATTTGTATGTTGAATCTGCCGCCCGCACCCTCCAGGTAAGATGCTCATTTAAAGGAGCCTATAAGCCCTTTTTGAAGGAAGTTAGCACCACAACTTTTTGTTGCCAATTTCGCTCAAACCTTGCAAACCCTAAACCCCAAATACCCCTACCCTGCACCCAATAATTTAAACCCCAAATACCCCTAAACCCTAGACCCTGGCCCCAAACCCCAAATACCCTAAAGCCCAACACCCTAAAGCCCAAATACCCCATTGCCTGTAGCCGGTGGAGTTGATGAGCTCATCCGCCTCAGGCGGTCCGCGGGCCCCCTGCTCCTGCGGGACGAGTTCCACGGGGCTTCGGGTTGAGGCAGCAGGGCTTTCGGATCTGTAGGCTTCTAAGGTTTAGGGTTTAGGGTTTAGGCTTTAGGGTTCAGGGTTTTTTTCCCTCCCACATAGCCAGGACGAGCCCGCATTGCAGGGTAGTTCGGGTAACAGAACCAGCAAGGTTGGCAGAGATTCAACCAACCAATTATACGCGAGCAGAGTTGGCAGTTTCAACCAACCAATTAACAGCAGCGATTCTCTTCGCGAGAATGCCAAAAAGTGTCACAGAGGAGACAATACATCACAGTTGCTGGCAAGCAGGGTACAGACAGTTCATCGGCAGGCAACGCCGTGCAGCAAAATGCTGCAGAATCAATTACTAATTGGCATCACTGATCACTGGCACCACGTGCTAATTAAAACGCAAGGCCTGCAGAGCATCTTTCACAAAATAACTCATCCGAAAGCGGACTCACTCGAGGAAGACGGCCATGCTCTCGAAGACGCGTAAGAGCAGCCGACCACGCATGTAAGGGTAAAAGAACTGCCAAGCTGAGCGCGTTTTCCGTCGTACGGCATCGGCACACAGCCCCAGTCCAGAGTCAGCAAAAACAGCGTAGACGTCGCCAAGCAGAAAGGCCAGACCCAGGACGGTGGCCAGGGCAACAGAACAGACCTGCTCAGTAAAGCGCGATCCCTGTCGCACAGTTTCGACACATATCCATGCGGGGTAAGCGGGTAATATGCAATGCAGACCAACTGTCCATCCAGGCCTTGTAGTGTTTCAGCTGTCCACGACCAAGCAGAACCACTACCACGCCTGCAGAGTGATGGCCACCAGCGATGCAACCACAGCTTTGGAGTACATGCAGAGCGAGTGCCACACAGCAAAACGGCCACCAGAGGCCACAATGTTCCAGAGTCGTCATAGTCTCCGGCGTTGTCACAGTGAGCTCAAGCACCGTTGGTCCAGCCGGTACCCAGAATCATCCAACAAAGGCCAAAAGAAAGTATATGTGGGCGCAAATCGGTCCTCGCATCCCACCTTGAAGACACAGGCAGGCATCGACATCAGCTCCATTGCTGACTGCGGTTCCATGGCTGAAGCGGCTTCTCCGAAAGGAATGAAATAAGAAAATAGGAAGTCAAACATTAAATCCCGCACACCTCATGGCATCCCAGCAAACCCACATGGCATATGTAGACCATGGCTCATGTGCTCCCTGAAGCAGAGCAGCGGGCAGTTGATGGGTGCGGGGAAACGGACGGACGTGTGAGCGTGAGAGGGAGGCAAGGTGGAAAGCTAGGGCGGTGGTCAAGTGGGCGGCACCTTTTTGTTTGTTTTTTTGATTTTTTTGGTGCACTCGAAGTGACGACGCAGACCACGCGCGGGTGAGTGCGGTTGCTCTCCCTCTGATGCTTTTTTTTTGGCAAGCAGGACATAGGCATATATCGCACCAGGCCAGGCTGCGTTTTGCACACAAGTCTGGGGGCTGGCAGCGACCAGCAGTTGTCAGGAAAACACACAGAAATTACGGCGAAAATCTAGGAGTGGGGGAATACTATGGACGTTTAAAGATCCCGAAGTCATCCAGGCAAATTAGAAGAATTAGAAGGGCATCTCAGAACACCATTGTTTCCCAGCCCTAGATTCCAAATTCCGAATTCCGAATTACTAATTGCAAAGAACAGGCAGTAAATTCACAATGCATGCAGAATTTGAAGCGCAAGTGACACCCCAAAACCCCTGAAAGGTCTGAACGATTGCATCGGACGACATGCACCTGGCATGAACCTGATGATGTTGGCATGTTGATGAAACGAAGGAATGGGAGAGGGTTGATGAAATGAGGGGATGGGAGGGTTTGGGTGGGAGGTAAGTTCGGCTTGGGGGCAGATGATCCCTGATGTTCCTATGATGTTGGCATGGTAATGCAGCGGTAGGAGGGAAGGAGCTAGGGTACACTCAGGGGAGGCAGAGGTCACAATGCTATGCACTAGGCTACAAACTGTCGTCCTGGATTACGACTGGGGGATCAACTGGGGGATCTAGCGTCCTAGCAAAGGCTTGGTGTAACGTGGGTTGAAGAAGCGACGTCGAGCGCTGAGGCACAGGCACTCCTAGGCTGTGAAGCCAGGCCCGGACCGGTGCTGAAGACAGCGCGTGCAAAGTGGTGAAGGCTACCAAAACAAGACGCTCGGTGCCAGTCCAAGGCATGGTAGCATGAAGCTTACTCCT